AGCTCGCTAGATTTCATCTCCACTCGAGGCGGAGAGAAATTAAGAGTGATGGACGGCTACCTGTGGTGCTGCCAGGTGGCTCAGTCACGTGGGTTCGTGACGTAAGGGGTAAAAGAATCTTGAGATCATGGGGCTTCCCCTGACCTGGATTCTATCTCTCAGTCACCGGCAGAATCGCTGATTAATGCCTACAGTTCAAAATAGTCATTTTGACTGACCGGAGTCTATGGTGGGTTATTGAACGTAGTGAATTGGATAATAACAGACTTGGCCGATTAGGTCAAAGGACGTTGATGCAGGTCAAATGCAAATACATTATGGCGGAAAGTGTATTTTATCGAGAGTTTGCATACGATCTGACACATTCGTCAGTGGCGATAATGATGAAGATTTTGACTTTGACTGTGTTCCAACAGACTCGCATATTTTTAATCTTGCAAATTTGGGTGGTACGTTATTAATATTGTAATAAAATATGCATATTTGACCATTTCTGTTTCTTCATTGTAAGAGTCAATAACGACGCACCTAATTTCGTAATTATATTTTTCCTCAAACTTTCAAAGACGTAATATCCTCCTCAATCTGTCACATGGTGAATTAAAATTGTCAGTTGCACTCTTTTCCGAGGGGGGTGCTCGGGTAAGCGCCCACCCTTAAAAAATCCTGATTTGATGAGTTGAGGACCCTGGGCGCTAACGCGGTCGAGTACGGTACTATGATTAATGTTTATCCAAAATTTGTAGATGAGTGTGATTCAGTTTGAAGTAACCACTGCTTTTCCAGGCTTGTTTGGAGGATATTCTACAAGCGCATGATATATTTATCATTACTCCTATGTCTTAAATTTTATGTCTAATGATGTGTGATCGCCCTCGAGTGATGTGTGAGCGCCCTCTAGTGATGTGTGAGCGCCCTCTAGTGATGTGTGAGCGCCCTCTAGTGCCGTGTGAGCGCCCTCTAGTGCCGTGTGAGCGCCCTCTAGTGATGTGTGAGCACCCTCTAGGGATGTGTGAGCACCCTCTAGGATAACCCCTCAATATAATAAGAAATTCAGACTCACGGATGATCCGGATTTGGCTTTCTGATTGAAGTATAGATACCTATAGCTAAGATAGCCTGATTACATGTGTCTGCCAAAGAATGGATGGCTTCAGAAAACATACTGGCTGAACCTGTATACAACCAGGCTATTAATTTAAATATAAAATTTGCTCCATTGCTGAAAAGGAAGCAACAAGAAGATAATATTATGAGTTAAATATCATGAAGCTAAATGAAAACTCATTTGAAAATATAATACATGTAACATCATACTATTAAATTCTGCCCTCTAGTGGCAGAAGATTCCTGTGATATAAATGGGTGACAGAAAAGCTGTTCAGCAATTTAGCTTTCATCTATCGTCATCGACTAATGTTTTTGAGGGAGTTTACTACTTTCTAAATGGTGAATGACTACACAACTAAAATGCAGACTCATATACGTCATTCAGACTCATGAAATTTGTGAAAATATAGCAGAATATACCGTACTCGACCGCGTTAGCGCCCATGCTCGTTCAAGCGCCCACCCCCACTTTTGCGCAATTTTTAATATTCGGGGTCACATTCGGCAAAGCGCCCACCCCTTCAAAATGTCAATAATTTATCGTTTTTATATGATACAGCGTGGATATTAACCGCCATGAGTATGTTGAGAATGCGTAGACCACAGTAACCGTGCATAAACTACAATGCTATTTACCATTTAAAAAAAAAAACAGGTCGTTTATTTGCCGAAATAAACTCCAACAGATTGTACTTCGACATCGATAATTCACTTCCGCATTGCGTTACCCAAGGGTCTTCGTAAATTTCCGAAGAATTGCGTCGGTACCACACAGCATTTTGATTGGATAATAACAGACTTGACTCGTTAGGTCAAAGGACATTGATGCAGGTCGAATGCAAATACATCATGGCGGAAAGAGTTTGCGTACGATCGGACACATTCGTCAGTGGCGATAATGAAGATTTTGACTCAAATATTTTTAATCTCGTGAATTCGGGTGGTACGTAATTAATATTGTAATAAAATGTGCATATTTGATTATTTCTATTTCTTCATTGTAAGAGTCAATGACGACTCACCTAATTTCGTAATTCTACTTTCCCTCAATCTTTCAAAGACATAATATCCCCCTAAATCTGTCACACGGTGAATATTAAAATTGTCAGTTCCACTCTTTTCCGAGGGAGGTGCTCTGGTAAGCACCCACCCCTGAAAAATCTTGATTTTATGAGTTGAGGACCCTGGGCGCTAACGCGGTCGAGTACGGTAGTAGTTGCTATTTCAGATTTCTCACATAGATGGCCACATCACGTGACAGTGAAATATTGGTATCTCAAGA